CTTAGATGGCTGCTTGCAAGCTTTTAAGACCCCAGATGCCACTCACCAAAGTAGGATGCAGAACATTTTCTTAATAAACTTTGTTATGCCAATTGAGCTAGATGTCCGTTGAAAGTATGGTCCCCAGACCCGTGCCCCTGCTACTCTGTCCCTCAAAGTATTTGATTGTATTCAGGAAACTTCTTAGCTTTCGTTTAGCCCTGTTCTGCTGACTTCCCCTGTAGTGTGTGCTAACCTTCCTTTCACCTAAGATAATTCTTGTCTACTATCTACTTAGTGAACGACCATCACCCTCCCTCCCCACCCTCGCAACCATCAAAGAATGTATCATAACATATATCATTTTACTTATTTATACTGCTTACTGTTTATTCCTCCCACAATACTGTGAGCTCCATGAGAAATTTTTGACTTTGTGTTCACTGGTATGTCTCTAATATCTGGAATAAAGCTGAACACCATAATAAGTATTCAATAAATACAGGAATGTCCCTATTTTGATGTAAAGAGGAAAGCTAAAGCTCACTTTTCCATTCTTTGAGATTCAAGCTACCTTAATTAAATAATTAATCAAGTACCATGTTTCACCCATGCAGCATTGCTTTACTTAACATCTATTGAAAACAGCAGATAAAACAGGGCACACTTGAAAAAAAGGATTCACGTCATTCCATTCCTCTCAACTACCCATTTGCAGACAGGCACAGTAAGAAATTTTGTTCTCTGAAAGAAACAATCTTTGATGGTTACAAGGGAGGGGAGGGGTGGGGAGGGAAAAACACTAACTAGATAGTAGGTAAGTGGTAACCTTGGCAAACGGTAAGACAGTATATGATACTGGGGAAGTCAGCACAACTTGACCAGGGCAAAGTCATAGAAGCTTCACAGACACACATTCAAATGCCCTGAGGGATGAAGCTACTGGGCTGAGGGCTGGGGACCATGGTCTCGGGGGACATCTAGCTCAACTGGCATAACATAGTCTATAAAGAAAATGTTTTATATCTGACTGTGGTGAGTAGTATCTGGGGTCTTAAAAGCCTGCAAGCGGCCATCTAAGATACATCTACTGGTCCCATTCTGGCTGGAGCAAGGAGAATGAAGAAAACCAAAGACACAAGGGAAAGATTAGTCCAAAGGACTAATGAACCACAACTACCACAACCTCCACCAGACTGAGCCCAAAACAACTAGATAGTGCCCAGTTACCACCACCGACTGCTCTGGCAGGGATCACAATACAGGGTCCTGGACAGAGGGGGAAAAATATAGAACAAAAATTCAAAATCCAAAAAAAAAAAAAGATCAGGCTCGCTGGTCTGAAAGAGACTTGAGAAACCCCCAGAGTATGGCTCCCGGACACCCTTTTAACTCAGTACTGAAGTCAGTCCTGAGGTTCACCCTCCAACCAAAGATGAGAGGTCTACAGGGCCAAAAATAACACACATGAGGAATGTGCTTCTTAGTTCAAGCATGTATACGAGACCAATGGGCACACCAGCCCAAAAGCAAAGATGAGAAAGCAGGAAGGGACAGGGAAACTGGACGAATGAAAACAAGGAACCCGGGGTGGAGAAGGGGAGTGTGTTGACACATCTCAGAGTTGGCAACCAACGTGACAAAACAATCTGTATTAACTGTTTAGTAAGAAACTAATTTGCTCTGTAAACTTTCAACTAAAGCGCGTGCGCACACACAGACACACAGACACACAGACACACAGACACACAGACACACACACACACACACACACAGATTACAGCTAAGAAAAAAAAAGAAATTTTGTTTTCTGTAAGGTAAAGAGGTGAAAAAAGATGTTGGAAAAGATTCTTTTCTCTCAATTATTCCTATCCTGAACTGAAAACAAAATTTATTAAAATATTAAGCTTCTGCCAAGTATGTAAAGTTAAGGTTTACTTTCAAAATATTAGGGTTAGGAAAGGATCACTGCCTTCAGCAGCCCTTCCCTCCAAATATCACCATCCCCCTACCAGTTTCAAAAGCCAAACAAGGAAAATTAGTCTATCACAAGTTGCTCCCACTTCATTATGGTAGCTGTATCTTCTTTGTTTATACATAACTTGTTATTCTACATAAAGACACCGTAAATCCTCTTTGGAAATTACAAATTTCTAATTTTTTTTCACTTATTCATGTTTGCAACAGAGGTCATTGAGAGTGATGGTTTAAGTGCATTATTATGTACTTATCAAGAATTTTGCCACAGAGAACTGATTGCTTAAGCTACTTGAACAGATGCCTGTATCTTAAATAGAATCCCACAGATGTACTAATACAACTTACCCGGTATAAATCATTGTTTGTCAAGGAAAAGGGCAGGTTGGATACATATACTGTACTTTTACTTGGAGCCAATCCACCACTCATTTCTAAAAAGGAAAAACAAAAAAAACCATAAGCAATCTAAACCTGGTGTTCTTCATTCCAAGTAAAACCAATATTGCCAATTACTGATACAATTATTCCAGATTTATATGCCTTCCTTACATTTTGGGAATAGTTAGGAACAAAGACTGAGTGAATTTAAAAATTCCTTCTTCCCCAGCCACCATGTCTTAGGTATCTAGTGCTACTGTAACAGCAATACCACAAGTGGATGGTTTTAAAAAATTTATTTTCTCACAGTTAAGGAGGCTAGTTAACTCCAAATTAAGGGTGCCGGCTCTAGATGCAGGCCTTCTCTGTTGGCTTTGGGGAAGGTCCTTATTCTTTGGCTCCTTGGTGATCTTCATGTGGCTTGACATATGTCTTCCCCCATCTCTGCTTCTTTCACTTGTTGTTTAATCTCTCTTATATCTCAAGAAATTGATTTAAGACACACCCTACACTAATCCTATCTCATTAACATAATAAAGACATCCCATTCCCAAAGGGGATTATAACCACAGGCATAGAGGTTAAGATTTACAACATATGTTTTGGGGGCACACAATTCAATTCATAACACACCACTTAAAAATATTCTGGTTCTTCTTTCAAGTAATCTTTACTCTAATGGTTCCTGTGTTTGGGGCTGTGGATTTTCAGCAGATGCAGGAAAAACCCTGAGCCTACTCTAACCTCCCCTCCAGCTAAGTAAGGGCAAGAAGTTCTTTCTAATACGTACAGTACCTTGCCCATCCATGTCAGAAAGAACCTGGGAGCTCAAAAAGAACCTTAGCAGCTGATTTTCACGAATACCATGTTTGGGTATTTTTTTTGACTGTCTTAATATTTTTCTTTGGCATACTGCTAAGAGGAAATTTCAGACTTTCCATTTGACATATGCAAAGTTCTTTAAAATCATGTTATTGCCAAATTACGAAATGACACATTTTGTTACATGAACAGGTTCAGCGTCTTGAGGGATATTGACCTGTATACATATTTCTGAGTTTACAAGTACAACCTGTATTTAATTTTCACATCTTTTACAAAAAATTATTTGTGAAAATTGTATCAAACTCAACCAAGTTCAAGTTTTCGATTAAAAAGGCATGTGTGGTGTGTATCTGAGATGAGGTAAACCAATTATCACAAATGGTGAAATACTTATTCTAAAGCACGCAACTCGCGAAGTAATGGTAAAACTGCTTGATGGTTGGGTTTTTTGAAATGATTTAGAAAACTTCAAGAACTCAACATCGATAGATCGCATTTTAAAAGTTTCTCAATTGAAATTATTTATAGGTTAGACGTTCCCAGTGAGAACTATGAGGATAAGCAAAGGTATAAATGGAATAAAAAAGACGGCGTGAGTGGCAAATCGTTTTGGCGGCCAGGTCTGGAAGAGGACCCGCAGAGAAAAAGGCCGCGGCTGGGGAGGTGTTTACCTTCAACTGAGGTGGGCCCTAGGATCTGCTGAGGCTCAACCCCGACTATTCCTCGCCCCACGCAACGTCCTCGGCATCAGGCATCACGGGTCCTGGAAGAGTTCAGGCGCCTGAGCGAAAAGGTATCAGCAGCTCCGCCTCCACCTGGCTCTCGGTAGCCGCGCCACAGACGCGTAAGAACCCTAGACCCCGAAGCCCAGAGGCGGGCGCTTCTGCTGACGTCTTTGCGTGCGCCGGAAGTGCCTTGCGGGGAGCGCGGCAGGGAGCGGGCGACTACATTTACGGGGTCTCCCGGCGGCCCAGAGTCGGTGAGCGCATTTTAGTCTTCCAAGAAGTGGATAGGTACTGGCGCACGGGCTGTTGTACTCTGGGGAACGGGTGGACGGGCGGGCATTTTCTGTGGCGGGACCTGGAATCTACCGCTTTGCTTGAACCGTACAACAGTTCTGCCCCTGCGGATGGGGGTGGAGTTTTAAATAAAGGAAAGTGTTAGGTTTAAGATACAGGTTCTCTTTTTTAGCGCCTTAATATGCAGAGAGAGGACTAAGCTAGGTAACTTCAGTGATCCGAGATCAGTCAGGAGATCGGTAATTTTTTTTGAATGTGTCGGACGTATCCAGCTCGGTAAAGGCACTTTGGGAGCTACAAGAAAGTATAAAACAGGCCTTTTTCTGGCGGATATTTCAGTCTAGTTGGGGAGACAAAGCTAATTTGGGGAGACTTGGACTTACAGAATGACTCACCTTGAGTATTGGTATGGACAAATGTTGGACTTCCTGACACGTTTTTCTTCCTGTAAATCGATAATGGGCACACGCTGCTTTTTTTTCCCTAAGAGACCATAAACCGGCCCATCATTTCTGCAGAAAAATAAGAAAATATTGCAAGGTAGTTTATACCAGGGCTTCGAACCAGTTCATTCCGGTTCGAACTCCTGCTAAGAATTTGCATTTCCACCACAGATATAGTGAATCAGAATCTACATTTTAATAAGATCCCCAGGTGATTCTTATGTATAATTTTGAGACTCATTGCTCTACTTCTGGTTCTCAGAATTGGTTCCTAAGCAGCAGCTTAGCATCGCCTGGGAACTTGTTAGAAATGCAAATTCTCAGCAGGGGTTTGAACCGGAATGAACCGGTTCGAGGCCCTGGTTTATACTTATTAACTTCTACCCACCAGCACACACAGACCAGGCCTCTAACCATTCCCTGGGAGCCTGCGTGCCAGCAGCCTGGAACCAAAAGCCTCTCCTGGAGCCTGCACAATCAATCCAGACTGAAGTGGATGCCTTCTAGAGAGACCGAAGTACAATCCATCCAGGGCGCGGCTGAATTTTGAGAGGTCTGAATGCCTCCCTGTCCACCAGGGGACCGCTGAGACTAATTCTCTTGGCAAACTTGTGGCCAGCCAAACCTACCATGCTTCACATCCCTGTTATCCTTGGTTACCGCCCAAGATGTAAGCCCCTTTGGTCTTCTATGCTATACCCTCATCTCTATGCTGCTTTGTGCTTCCTCTCCCTTGATTTAGGCTATTACTGCTTCTCCCTCCTTTTCTTACCCGTTTCACCCCTCAACAACCTGACCCAGCTGTGCTCTGCATCCTCTGCTCCATGCTTAACAAACTCTTAACATACTCAGCCTTGTTACTGAAATTCTCTTTCATCTCTTGACCTTAACTAAAATGTGGCTTTCCTCTCCAGCCCTTTCAGTTGAGCCTTTTCTCTCACACCGGCATGAAGGTTAGGCAAGGACTTTAGCCATATGGAACTGATTTCACTTCCTCAGAATACATTTTTCTGCCCTCAGGGGGGAAAAGTCTTTGCAAAGGCTTTTTGCCTCTCCCTGGGACATGAGATCTCCCAGTCCTCCTCTACCTGTTTTTGGATAATTCCTCCTCCTGATAAAGATCAGAGTTCAGCTGTTTAAACCACCAAGGAGTATTCCCTAACTTTCCATAGACAGTTAGATACCCTTGCCATGTGCTCTTAAGTGCCATCTACTTTCTTCATCGTAGCTCTTATCATATGTACTGTAATTGCTTTTCTCTTTGCCTTCCCTACTAAGCTAGACTAGGGGAGGAACTGTGTCTTGTTCCTCTTCATAACTCTAGTGCCAATACACTTTGTGTATTGGTTTTTCTTGAGTGATTGCAGGTGTTGCAGGTATGGTCTGAGAAGCTAGGCAGTTGACGTTAATGAGTGTAAGAACCTGTCAAAAGGGGTCAGCTGCTACTCAGCTTCAGTTGATTGCGGCCCTATGAGAATATGATTCCAGTGTTGCCAGAACATCCAATTTTTTTCAAGAAAACTTGAAAATAAAGTTTTTTTTGAAGTGACTGCTTCCAATTTTAAAATATTGTTAATGAGATAAATTTTGTTTAAAAAAATGTGGACCAGAAAAAAGATATCTGTAAGTCACATGTGACATTCCATCCATCAGTTTGGAATTTGTTTTAAGTGTTGTAGAGTTCAGGTAACAGGCTTTGTGCAGAACAGTAGATTTAGAGCTGGGCCTCGATAAACGTTTAGAAGTTGAAAGAGGTATTCCGGTTTGGGAAAAACTCAACTCCAGGGTAGTGTGCATTCTCTATGCACGGTGAAGAGGCTAGCATGAATGGTCCTTTTGGAGAAAATAGGTTAGGTGAGAGGAATGGAAGGGGGCAAATAGAGGGCAGAAAAGTTTGAATTTATTGTGGTCAATTAATAAGAAACCATTTAAATTCTTAATCAGGGAAGTTTCACATTATGAATGATGTTTTATCAAAGTTAATTGGACATCCTTTTTTAGCACAATTTGGAGAGTAAAAGACTGGAAGGAGGCTGACCAGTTAAGACTAACTTCCATCCAAATGTAAAGTAAGATTTAGAGTTATAAATATTATACATAGATATCTGGTATTTTTGTCCACTTGTGTAATTTCACTTAATTACTTAAGATGGATAGTCAAGAAGCCCTTACTAAGTATTTAGTACAGTACGGTGGGAAAGTATCCTTAAAGCATTGCAAAGCTAAGTAACTTGTGAAACTAGTAGAGAATGTAGTACTTTAACAGTGCTATATTATATGATTCATTGTGGACGCAATCAGTGATCTTCTTTCCCTAGCCTCTTCTCTGATCTGTTTTGTATACTGCCAGGTTAATTTTCAGGAATGGTCTTTTTTCCCTCACTCCTGAGCTTAAAAGCGTTCGGTGAGCTCCTCCTCTAGCCTTTTTGCTTTGTTGTGCCATTGAATGCCCTTGAATCTATTCTGTGCATGCTTTCTGAGGCAGTGTGATATAATGGTAAGGGCTTGGGCTTTAAAGTCAAGCAGGCCTGAGTCTGACTCCAGACTCCACCTGGCTCTGGAACTTGAACCTTTCAGACCCTCCAAGTTTTTCTCTGGACTGTTAGGGATAATATCTACTTCGTTAGGATTGTGCGGGTTAAGGATTTACGTGTTTTTAATGTTTATAGCCCAAATCCTTGCGCATATGAGAGGAAATGAAAGCTTGTTGAATACTTGTCAAGGCTTATTTACCAATCCTTTGTAATGTGAATCGTCTGCTCTGGTCAGTTCTGTCTTCTTTCTCATGTACATTCTGTTTTCTCTAATGCCTTTCTCTTTTTTTGGTATTTACTCTTTACTATTAACCATTCACATTCAAGTGATCTCTCGATAGTATTTAAATTTTCTTAGCTTTCTTAACTACCATTGTCTGCATTTATGTCTTCCTGAGCACTGAACAATAATTCTTGTAGGTACTTTGCTCTGTTTTGAATGTTTTAGTTGGCCTCAGTGTCACTTATTTTTTTCAAGCAAACCTCAACTAATTATGTTCTAAAATTCATTTTTGATTTAATTGTCTGGAATTTGAAATACTTTTCATTAGAAAACATGTAAAATATATGTGTTTTTTAGGTTTAACTCAGCCCTTAAAAGCTTCTGGTATTTCATTTTAGGATGTCAGGACTATATTTACCTTGTTTTAGATCAGTTGGATCTCAATACTGACTGTATATTAGAAGCTTAAGATTAAAAAAAAAAAAAGTACCAGGGCCCCATCTCAAGGTAATTAAATAGGGATTTCATAGGGTAGGGCCTAAGATTGGTATTGTTAAAGCTTCTTAGATGATTCTAGTATGCAGCCAAACTTGAGAATCACTGCTTTAGAAGCTAGACCTAAAGGAATCTCATTGGTACCTTTTGCTCAAAAGCAAAGTAACTTTAGTGTCATAAGTGGGACAGGAACAACAATGTAATAGTGCTCACTAGAATTTTTCTGACTAATGCAGAGGTACAAACTGCTAATATTTAGGTTCCCCAGAATGGCTCATGCAGTGGTCATATGAACAGTCTGTTTGTTTGACCATTACTTAATATTTATACTTTTACTCTGCTAAGCAAAAGGAGTAAGAAGTATACAGTCCTTGCCTTAACAGTAGTGTTTAGTTTGGGAGGGAGAAGAGAAAGAAAAGTAAATAGAATAGGATGTTTTACAGTACTACAGGTATCAGCAGGGTGTTTTGGGGGGCTCAGAGGGGACACAGCTTAATTCTTTCTGGAGAAGAGAAAACCTGACATTTGAACTGAATTGTGAAGGATAAGTGAATGGTTAAAAGCAAATAAACAGAAGAAACATACTATAGGCAGAGAAAAGCATGTGCCAAGGTGTGGTGTTGAGAAATAATAGCATACTTGCAGAACAGAGAGTAGGTTGATATGTGGGGAAGTAGTAGGAGAAAAAGCTGGAAAGGCAGGAACAAGGTCATAAAGAGCCTCTTCTCAAGTTTAGGATTAAGACTTTATTCTTTAGGATGCAGGGAGCCATTGAGAGATTTTCTAATCAGGTGTCTTTCAGAATGAACACTGTCCACAGTTTGCAGGGTGGATGGGGTGGGGAAGGTGAAACCAGAAGCAGGGATACCAGTTATACTGGGGAGTCAAATGAATAGGGCCTGGTCAAAGACGTTGGTAGCAGGAATAGGGGAATGTAGATTGATTTGCTTTAGTGAGGTGATAGATTTAGTGACTAATTAGATATGAAAAGTTTTGGATCTTGGATGACTCAGATTTCTGATTTGGTCATTTGTGTACGTGGTCGTGTCATTGACGAAAATAGGGAAGACAGGTTTTTGAGAAGTATGAAGAATTGAGTTTTGGCATGTTGAGTTGGAGGTGTCTGGGACATCCCCTTTTTTTGTTTTCTGTTGAAACTTTACACAGCAAAACATACACCAATTCAACATTTCTACCTGTACAGTTCAGTGACATTGATTACATTCAAGTTGTGCAGCCATTCTTGTCCTCCTTTGCTGAATTGTTCTTCTCCCATTACCATGAACTCACTTCCCCCTGACCTTCCTATCTGACCTTTCGAGTTGATAGCGTAAGTTTGATCCCATATAGGTAGTTCTTAAAAGAGCATAATGCTCAAGGCAGACATTTTTTACTAGTTAAGCTAAATTATTGTTTGGTTTTAAAGTAAGTCTTCAGGGAATTGTTTGGTTTAAAGATTATCTCAGGACAACCACTTCGGAGGTTCATCCAGCCTCACTGTCTCCTTATAAAGTCTGGATTCCATGAGAATTTGGAATTTTGTTCTGCATTTTTCCCCTTTTTGATTGGGAGTCTTCTGTAGAATCTCTGATCAAAATGTTCAGTAATGGTAGCTGGGCACCAGCGGGATATCCTCTTGAAAAGAGTCAGGATGGATGTAGAAGTATAGGTGACATTTATCTAGAGGGAGCATCTTACCAACATTAATAAACTCATTCTGTGAATACTGATCTCATACTTTGCAAGTTGTTATAAGTGCTTAATATGTGCTTGGCTGCTAACTGAAAGGTCCGTGGTTCAAACCCACCAGCTGCCTCCAAGGGAGAAGGATGTGGCAGTCTGCTTCTGTAAAGATTACAGCCTTGGAATTGCTATGGGGCATTTTCTACTCTGTCGTATAGGGTCACTATGAGTGGGGGTCGACTTAATGGCAATGGATTAATATTAACCAATGAATAAAATAGAGATCCCTACTTTCATGTAGCTCATATTCCTAGGGAGGGACCAATAATATGCATAGATGACAATTATGTAGTATCTTAGGTGATCATTGTTGTTGTTAGGTACCGTCAAGTCAGTTCAATCGGTTCTGACTCACAGTGACCCTACAGGACAGGATAAAACTGCCCCATAGGGTTTCCGAGGAGCGGCTGGTGGGTTTGAAATGCTGACCTTTTTGTTAGCAGTCGAGCTCTTAAGCACTGTGCCACCAAAGTGATTAAAACCAGAAATCAAACCCATTGCCGTCAAGTCAATTCCGACTCATAGCGACCCTATAGGACAGTGTAGAACTGCCCCATAGAGTTTCCAAGCAGCGACTGGTGGATTTGAACTGCTGACCTTTTGGTTAGCAGCTGTAGCACTTAACCACTACACCAGCCAGGGTGATTAGTGCTTTGAGAAAAAATAGCAAGATTG